GTATGTTATCGTGTATGCGGGAAGCAAACCCGAATACCAGGCCAAACAATATCAAATTCGCTCCGATGGCAAGCCAAACGCTGAGATGGAACGGGCGGACGTAGATGAGGAGTTCATCACTGGTATCTTGACCAGGCCTCCGAATCACCATCCCTGGATCATAAATACCGGCGTTAATTTCATCCCATAACTCCAGCAGTGGTCCCATGAAGGTGCTCTTTATTGTTTAGACTCTACGTGCTTTGACTTGTCATATGTTCCGCTCGGTATCCGCTATCGCGTTGAAGTACACATGAAAAAAGACCACCACAAAATCGAATGCTGACGCCTCGTTTCCACCGATCAGATCAGGAAAGGATTTTGAGGAAAACTGCAGATTTTCTTAGGAGCACACCTTGTGCGTCCTAAATCAATCGCCGCCAAAGGACCACAGGCTCGCCCGAGCAAGAACCCTTATGGATTGCCACAAGAGGTGAAATTATCCATATGAGGAGCTGGGTGACAAGTGGTGAGAAAAGAAACCATGTGACATATTAAGTCTATAGCCTAAGCCCAAGTGTCTTTCATGCTCGAGGAGGGGCGCCTCAAGGCGAAACATAAAAATGCACATTCATAGGGCCATTGCAGAAATTCCTGACAGAAACGAACACAATGTACTGTACAGGGTGTCTGGAATATTTATCCTCCCTGTAGAAGGTGACACAATAAAATCTGAGCTACTTGATAGTCCTATGTATGTCCCCTTGATAGTCCTTTCAATGTATTTTCAGGTAAATGATGGGCGGCCCATTGTGAATGAGAGCAACAAAAGACGTTGAATTGATCGCATTCATGCAGTTACCTTTCGTGTGGCGCGTGATGCTGGTGCAGCCGTCATAACGTACTCGTTGTTGGCCAGAACCATTGGAAAAAGTGAAATATTTATGGGAGATCACTGGAGAAAGGATATTGCCAGGTGTGAAATCAATTTCGGCGGCGGTAGACCAGAAAAACTTTTTCTAGAGTCAAAGGAAATAAATCGCGAAGCATCTGGGGAAAGAATGTGTGTGCTGATGTAAAAGTGATTCTCGAAAGGAGACACATATTAAAAGACACGTTATTCGATGTTTCCGTCAACATGTAGGCCTGCTGGCATATCAGAAAATCGCCAAACCCAAAAAGACTCCACTGAACCCTGAAGATCGTTTGTGGTTTGCAAATATTTTGCGTGAATGAGGAAAATGAGCCAATGAGGAAACACGGAATTTTGAAATGCCTTGCAAAGATGCAGTATAAAATGCTGTTTTAGCATTCAGTTTCAACATTCAACTTTTTATATTTACATCGATCTTCTCTCGAGAGGGGGGCACTACAATTTCCAGGCACCCTTTAGATCGCCACTTATTAAACGTCTTTCCACTCCTCCATCGGAGGGAGGGCTTAGGGGATGGCTGAAGAGAGCTCAAACCTCCTCGTTCTATGGCGACGTCGACATAAGGGAAGTGGACGACGGTTTCTCGTTCCAGTGATCGAGCGATATTCGCAAGACCCAGGTCCGCCTTCCCGTTCATCACCTCTCCCACGATCCCATCCCACGACCCATTCTTGTTTTGCGATCCGAATTTCCCATCAGCTACTAATCTGCACTCGAATCTGTAGACAAACAAGGACATCAGGTAGCTCTTGAAGCAGCACTTGAAGCATTTGTAACGTCTCCATTAATTTGCTATTTTATAAATGATTGTTCCGAGTGTCAATTAAAAACCGAATGTGTGAACTGGAATATTCCATTCACCGTGCTCAGTCGGGGTAGTTAGGATGTAAAGTACACCCTTAGGCAGGTAATCGGTGTGCAACGCGTCGATCACCCGATCACTATTGATCTGCCAAAAATCCAGAACATAATGGAAATGTCGATACGAGGTGAAGTACTTTTCCATGGACGTAACAAGCACATTGTGAACCCATGAAAGATGTCATGGATCTTTGGATCATTCTAATCTTGAAAAATTTGTCATGCAACATGCCAACTCTGGCACCCGGTATGTTGTAAAACATGAAAATAGAAGAATGAAAGAAGTTCTGTTAGATCATGATCTAGCAAATGGCACAATAAATGCCGTCTTGGAAAAAAGTGCTCAGATGGAAATCCCGACATGTTGCATATACTAAGCATTTCCGCACGCATGTGTAGTCTAGTACGATGCCGCGAAGAATATCAGGATCAGACACTAGAAATTTTCGTTATAATGTCGAAGAATATCTACGAACGACAGCACGTTTATCCATATCTTCATCGATAAACGAGATATCGATATCTCGAGGCGGGGGTAATCATACGTACTTTCGTGCATATAATTACCCCCACCCTCCATCCCTCTCCCTCTTCTACCTAGCTAAGCCTGATGTTCATGGAGAAGAAATAGATTGGCTGACACGTCGCAGAGATTATCCTGTATCAAAAAATTTTGTTAAATATGAAAAAGAAATTCGATTTCTCACGTGAAGTTGAGTGTTTGCGCCAGAAGGTCCAGCATATCGACGAGATACCCTTCATAACGAATCTTTCCTGTGTCATTCCAAGCATAGACGAAGGGAGGGGTCTGCAATAACCAATATTCCATTGCGTCGTTTATCGTTCGTTAGGACAAATTGAGACCGAGGCCTATGGTATGTTCGAAATAAATACCGACATGAATGGTAATGACGCGGAGCTTCTCCCCTCGCAGATCAAATCGGTTCGACTCCGTTTCATTGATGATGAATTGACGGAGGATCCTCGACCAAAATCCGATTCTTCGCATCTCAGATCCCTCCTTCGCGACCTTCATCCAGAGAGGGAAGTCATCTGGACGATGAGAACTCACGAGCTTCTCCAGGTCTCTCTCCTGAAATAGTTATGACTCCGTCTGAAATTTATTCTTTACCTTGACTTTTTCCGTTTGGGTCATTCCATATCAACTCAATCGGGTTGGTTGTTCGACCGGCACGAATTTTCTCGAAATTCTGTACATGCAATTCATCATTGAGAGATAAGCGTGACGCAAATTTCAAATGGACTCTGACCGATGGTTTCTGAGATACGGTCCCTCAAAATTCCGGAGAAGGGGGAAATTAGGGGCTCCCCCTAATTGCAGATTTCTTTACTGTTGCTTCGATTTTTTCCCATCCTTTCCCCAGCTCAAATGAAAGTTCTTAAAATAGTGATTCAGTATATTTATTTATGTTTCATCATTAATGATAATGATGGTGTGTATACACGTAAAATTAGATCCAATTTCGAGGGCAAATATCCCCATGTTGGGGGTTGTGACAAAACTTTGTTTTGTTATCTTGATAAACACTCTTCTAGCCCTCGTGTCAAGACCAGTTTCAGGTTGTGTCTTCGGACGCCACAAAGGAGAAAATCAGACTTAAAATCTATAAAAAGGGACTTATGGGGCAAAAAAATATTGTTGCTGCGGTCAACCCCCGCGAAAACGCTGTAAACCTTCTGAAACCCCAGTCCAAGTCCTTTACAAGTATCTATAGTTGTTCCCGTGTCTCTCAAGATTCATTCAAGTTTTTCCCCGTTTGCAATGGTCGCTCGCATTGATTCTTCCCTTAGGATTCACGCCGATTTGAATGTGAAAGCATTAAACGTATACTAAATAATTTGAATAAGTTCATATAGCACCCAGTTTAAAATTTTTCATCGAGCCATCGAAGGCTTCATCGTCGACGCGTATGTAAGCCTTAGTTGGGCCATCACTGGGATTTGGTTGGTTTAGGCCGGTTTATGATCGGGCATGTCCTGTTGGCCTTTCATCGGGCCAACTTTGACTCATAGTTGGGGAACCGCACATACCGCAGCCATAAACCGACTTTTCGCAATGGTGAAAAGATAAAGGAAAACAAAAAACATAAACTGTGTCTTCAGCATTTTGCATATTTTAGAGATAAGAATGCATCATTTGGCCCCCCACTAGGCGATGGGGATGTACTTTCCACAAGTACACTCCTATCGCCAAGAGTATCCAAGCATAGAGTAGAGAGTATAACTAGAGGCGACACTCCTCTCGAATCCCATTCATTGACAGGCTCGGAATATAGATGTCGCTGTCGATCCTCCACCTTGCGTGCGCACATCAACAACTCCTCCACTGCCGAGCAGCCGACTCGACGAGACACGCTTGTTACGTTGAGTCGAATCCCCGAACAAGACGATTCCCGATTCCGCTTCGTGGCAGCGGAATCGGGAATCGACTTGTTATCAACAACACTTCCTCATGGAAGTGCTGTTGATAATAAGACATCAAATGTGTCTGTAACGTTTTTGAGAGATGTTCAAAATGACTGCCATCTACCCAAACGTCGCCGTGAAGTCGACCTAATTGTTTATCAACTAAGAATTTCATTAGAAAAAGTGTGGAAATACCCATACGCCCTCTTTCCATCTCCGTACTCATGCACTGCTCTCGGACACTTGCGACAGGATAGAGGCACTTGCATACAAGAACTACATCATGTAGAGGTAGTTTACTGTAGATGAGTTTGTAGTAAGGGAGAAAGAAGGGGAATTTTCTCCATGCTCCCGCTAGATGACGCCAGGTGTCCAGCTCTGTCGCAATGGCTGATTGTAAGGAGGAATGGGGGAAAAGGACTAGGCGGTGGTGTTTATTTAGGGAAGACCGTGACTGGCATGAAAGCTTTTCCGAACGCTCATATTTATCTGCCCTTCACAAAATGATAGATGTTGCGATCGGTTTGTCACTTTTTCATTCCGTCTGTTCGCAGTTTCCATAGAAACAGGACAACTGGACTCGATGTGTACGTACAGCCTGGATCGGGATGGCAGCCAACGATTAGAACTTCCAATTTCCTTCCCGCTCTCGCGGTTGACATATCCATAGTAGACTAAGGAAAAGGGCGATTGCCCATAAACAAGGTTGTTGGGCGTATTCTTGAAATTGCAATATCTGTAACCTCCAGGTTGCTCTCTCCTCTCATCTCCATGCGGCGCGGACGAGCGAGGACCTTTCTCAAGTTTTTCGAGACTCTCCATTGTAGACCTGCGATACACGAATGACAGCTTTTATTTTGTTGTTTTTACCTTTTTATAATAAAAAATGTATTTCAAATTGGATGGTTAAGATGCGGTGGTGGGGGATAATTCCAAAATTATAAACTTAGTGGCCAGGGGAAAGTAGATGTGTACCTGGGCTGGTACTCTAGTTTCCTCGTCTTTCTTTTGGGAAAGTTTTTTTTTTTTTTTACCGGAGAGATTAATTCAGTCAACGTATTTTTTAAATATGAAAAATGAGAACTGAAAGAATGGTTGAAAAATGTAAGAGGGCGGATACGGACGAGGGACATATCTACATAAATAGTTTCTGCCTGCAGTCTGGTAACTCAGAAAAATATCTAGTTTAAGCCCAAAGTTTAAATAAGAAGCAGCCTAGGATACCGTATCGCTGAATGAAAAAATAGGCGAAGAATCCTCAGAATTACAGGTAGAATTACCGATAATTTTAGAGGAATTTAATTGGGGTTTCTGAGTATCTTTAGCGTTTTTATGAGAGGCCCGCAAAAAATTCCCAGCGTGGGGTTCCAAAGACAAAACTAGTTTTAACCAAGATAAGGATATGTATGGTGTTCTATATGGAGGTGCATCTCAGCACGCCGTCCTACATATAGAAAGCCATACATATATGGGAGGGCAGAAGAGTATAAATCAAGATCTAAAAAAGATCAAAGTTGTCACCTCTCCAAAATGGGGATATTAACCCGAAAAAGTGAAATTTTGTTAAACTGTGCATACCATCCATTTATCATTCTTGTTTGTCTTGAACCACGAATAATTTTACTGAATCGATTCCTTAGAAGCTTCCATTTGAGCTAAAGATGGACAAAATCGGAGCAATAATTAAAAAGTAAGCGATTGGGAGGCAGCGATCAATTTCCCCTTCCCCGCGAAATATGGAGGCCATGTCCTGGAGAACACAGGTCAAAATTCTCTTACATTTTGTATCACGCCTTTTCCCAACGATTACTCTCATATACCTAACTTAAAGCAAATTCGTACTGATGGAGCAACAAATACCACTTTTTGGTGAACGTAATGTGGAATGACCCATCAATTATGCAAATACGATATCGATGAATATTACCTGAGGGTAGGTGAGGAAGGCTACACGACTGTCTAATCTCCTGCTGGACAAATACAAGTTGCTCGGTGGCATTGATATTGAGCTGGGGATGACATAGAGCCAGCTGTTGAAGCCATCCAACATCCCCTCTGAATCAGCCTATTCCCGATAAAAGAGATAGGAAAGAGTATATTACATTTTTACAACGTTTGTCTAATGGAAATCGCGTTCGTCTAGTTTGGATTGATGGCCTAACATAAATAGGAACCTGAAACATTTCAATTTCTTTTTAAGAGTTTCAATTACTTCTAAGTCTCACCACATTGTAAAGACGCTGGATGAGCTCCTGCTTCACGAGAAGAGCCATGAGGGATCCTTTCGCCATTCTCAGCCTTTCCCACGGAAAAAGTGAGAAATTCCTAAATGTTACGGGCGTGAATCCGATGTCTTCGGGCCGCATGAGCTCGGGGAGAAGAGAATATTTCCAGAAGATCTCGTTCTCTTCGTTGGTTAAAATAAAAACATGACGGAGGCCCTCGTGTGCTGCCCAGGCTCTCGTCACGTCCAGGAGGGTACTTGGATCCAGGAAAGGTGTCGGGTGTTTCAGGTGGCACCACGGTGTGTCGATGGGGACTGGATATACCTTCACGGTGCGGAGAGCGGAGAAACCACCCTCAGCTCTTTGAAGGTTTCTGCATTTCAGAGCTGCTATCACATGCAAATACCCCTTCCAATCCGACATGATCCGTTCTATTAGAAAACAAATTGTTCGTCAAATAATTCAGAGCTTTCTTCGACATGACAGATATCAGCTAGATTCGGAATAACGTACGCATCGGATCATTCGTGACACAAGGCAACCAGGCAGGGAATTTCATGTCAGGAAATGACGCAGGACCGGCTCCAAAGGTCGCATTCCCGCAATCTTCTCTAAGCAGGACTTGGGGAAGAAGAGGTAGAAATCAGAGAGATCTTATTCCTGAAAGCAAAAAATCGCTTTCGATGGATCGCTTGCTTACCGATGTCTTCGGTGAATGGAAAGGAGATCACAACTTGTGACCCTACCAGAAGCAAAAGATGCAACTCGAAGAACATGTTGATACCCGTATCTTACGTTTTCACTTCCAGTTCTCTTAGGTTGAACTATGCCACAATCGCTGCTTCTGTCTACTACCTCCATAACCTCCCACCAATGTCATGCTGTACCAGCGAGAATTCTAGCCGTCATCCATCCCAGAGCAGAGACGTGCTACATTATTTACTTGTTCCCCTCGTTAGCATCCCTTTTGCAAACAAGCGTGACGCTTTGTATGTTCTTGTCACTCTCCCCATCCAACGTAAATAAGTCTCTCGCTCTTACCAATTCATTTATTTATGCATCAATCTTCGACCTTCGCGCACAAACTCGGTTGAACTGCTACACAGTAATTCCTGCGAAAGGAAAGGGTACGTCTCAAGTGTCACCAGTCTAGAACTCTGTAGAGAAAATTTGTAGTCATGAAGTCAACTAAAGACATTTAAAACTTTCGAATCGATAAGACATTCTGGACTGTGTCCAGAGCGTCTCATCCTACTTCATCTTCATAGCGTTTCATGCATGTGTCTTTTCGCTTTTTTATGCTAATCAGAAACTGCCTCTCTCTGTACTTCGACTCGTTGCCGTTGAACCCTGACTGTCATGGTAGCAGCATGGCCCTTCTATAACGATTTGTATTTCATGAGATTTAATTATGGTAATAGGTTTGTTTTGTCATGATTCAGGTCATCGGCACTCTACCTCGGGAAACAGAGCACAAATAAAGCCACAGCAGAATTTTAATATTCTCAATTCTTTCACAGAATGAAGTTTTTAAGGTGATTAATGTCATTGAGAAGAAGGGCACATAATCGAAAGGCAGTAAAAGCACTTCCTTAGATTAATAAAAGAGTCTTCTCATCGTGCCGTTATCACGAATGATTTCCTGAATCGTTCCGTTCTGACCGTCTGTAGTCTCCCAGCAAACAAGGCTACATTGGACTAACGTTCTATCAACGTTCCGAACGTTCATTCAATGTTGATTCAACGTTGATTCGACGTTGTTTTTCATATTGTTTGCTGGACTGTTTCCTTTCAGTGTAAGGTTCTCCTCTTTCTACTTTCCGTAAGCATGCCTGTAAAGGTTACCTTCGACTATGGCGTATTGAGGTTTTCATGATTGGTATCGAGGGTATCATGAGGTTTTTTCCCTCTTCATTGATCCTCTTGACGATCTTTAGAACAAATGCATCAAGGTTTCCTTTGCAGAGGGCTGGCGTCCTCTTTTGAATCTCTTGAAGAAGATTAAAGTATTTACACGACAAATAGTTTACATATCGTGAGAAAACAAGTTAAATTCGGCAAAAGACAAGCTCTTATGAAAGGTAACGATCGCAGTGTTTTATTTCAGGTTTCTGAGTAGTCTGATAGGGAAAAGAAAAACTCCTACTCATGCCTCTTTGTATACATGATTGACCTGGATGGAGGACGATATCTCTGAGGTGAACTACAAGATTCTTTTGTAAAATCAAAACTTCAAGATACTTTGTGGAATCCAAGGGAGAGGCTTCAAAGCGATTCACTTTTGTCTTCTGCTCGCCTAGTTCTTTCGGTGTCTGGCTCTTATTTGGGAATACATTTCAGGACATTCTCTGGATTCAGGAGTTGGTCATTATCGAAAAACAATTGCTTTTCCTAGTTACCATATGCTGATTTTGTTGAAATGATTCCTAGACCGGCTGTCAGGGCTTTAATTGTTTGCCCTTCATCCATGCAATAACTTTGTTGGTATCTATTATGAAACAGCCATCAATAACCATGCCACATTATCCACAAAACCATTACCTGGTTCTGCGCTACAACTCATTATGCCAATAGCGTCTCTCAATCTTCAGCAATTGCTGTAAAAATGAATTTTTGTAGGTTTTGTGGTGCGTTTTTTCTTCGAGCTACCACCATGATAATGCATTATTACAGCTCGAATACGAGACCAAGATGATAGAAAAAGGATTCCCTAACATCTCGCCGAATTCAAGTTGTCGACTATAGCTTGCCGGTTGATGATTCGTAGACCTACAATTCACCAAATGTTTCACTCCCTGAATTTCATTATTGACCCTATGTAGATCTGCAACAAAGCTCCTTCTTGTTGACCAATTCAAGAGGGAATTGGAACCTAAATCGTCATATGGTGTCCAATAAGCCCTTTTCGGAAGCCTATGTGACAAAGAGTTTTTGTTGTTGAAATGTTGAAGTTCTCCGTGAGGAGTGATATGACCCACGAGACCAATATGATGGATAAAGGGTTCCCCATCTTTTCGCCGAATTCAAGTCGCCGGCTATGATATGACTATAGCTCGCTGATTGATGGTTCGCTAACTTACAACTCACCGAATGCTTAACTCGCTGAATTTCACCATTGACCTCATATAGAGCTGTAGCAAAAACTTCTTCCTGTTGACCAGTTCACGAGGGAATTGGAACTTGCCGACCTAAATCGTCATATGTGGTCCAATAAGCTGTTTTTAGAAGCCTTAGTGACAAGAGGGATTTTCGTCAATGGTCGCTAGATCCAGTCAGAGTCAGACGGGTTATCGCCCGGGGAGATGGTTTCTACAAGACGCCATGAAACTCTCCTGACGTTGTATTGAAAGTTTGAGGAATTTCGTGACCGTGCGAGGCCACACGTCTCAGGTTTCTATCTATCTGGGCGACCTAAAGGGTCTCTACCCGTACGAGAGTTCCAAATAAAGACTTGATGCATGATATCAAATTTGGCCATACATGGGCTCCTTATTTGAATGCAGATCTTCATAGAAGTATCAGTGGGACTCTCTCCTCTTAGCTGCTGAAAGATCTACAGGGAGATCGACTTCTTAGAAGCTAAAAAAAGTCATCACATCACGTTTTATACCTCTTCAGCAAACCCTTTGGTAGAACATTGATCGTCACATGATGAAAGTAAAAAAGGTTTATTGCAACGGGGAGTGCCTTTTGATCACCCCACGTAGAGTCAAACATGTCCAAACACGACTGTATTTGGAAGTTCCATAAAGGCATCTAAGCTTTGTTGAATTGAGCATTCGAAAAGTTAAACTAGTGGCGACTTTTAAATTGACGAATTAAATTAAACGAATTAAACATTCGGCAAGTTGAGAACTCGGAAAGTTGTATGTCAGCAAATCCTCAATCGGCAAATTGAACTGTTCGCAAATTGAATGTGGCGTGTTGATACTCAGTGAGTTAAGCGTCTACCAGAAAATAGTGGGAAATACTGCACAGTCATGTTTATTTCCATGTAACCGATATTATGACAAAGAGGTATGCTTATGATGCAGGGTATGATAGATACATTCACAAATTAAGAAGACCAAGGAACATGCCATTCCTCCCGTCAAGACCAAAAGGGCTCCACTCACCTTTCAAAAGAGCAAGAAAATACAAATTTGTGGATAAGTTGCACTGCGCCTATTGCAGATCTAGTGGAGAAGGAGATGTGGAAATTCCTCACTTCCAATATTCCCAGTTGTTGGGAATGTGTACTGGACTGCTCAGTCTGACAATGATTTCTTGGCCTCCATCGTCGTTTCAGCTTCTCTAGGATTCCTCTTTCTTTCATCTTCCTCAACCTCGGGCACAAGCATAAGTGCATAATTGGTTCTTAGATGTTATCGAACATCGATTACTTATCACTATCAAGCCTCACTGGGAGGAGATGGCAGAGGCGTATTGAGAGTTCTTCTGAAGAATGATCCCGTTGTTCATTTGCATGGAAAATACCTTGATGAGCATCAAGTCGCATCTGGACATCATCATATGCTCCAAATCTGTGCATGAAAATCGTATAGAATCAGAGGAGGTTAAGAAAGATCAAGGAGCCGAGGAGGGAAAAGAAGGTACAGACTGGAGAGGTCACTGATGAAAGCATATCCTCCAGCAGACAATCGATCGGGTGCAGCTTCGTATTTAACAAATTGATCACCTTCCTGGAATTTCAGCCACTGCTGGTAGACCTCCTTATGAGTCGGATCCTTGGAATGCTGCGTATCATGAGGAATGCGGAGTGGGGTATTCGCCGTCCAAAACAGTCGAAAACAAAACGCAGAATAGCAAATAAAAATGCTGTACTCTAAGCGGCAGAGTCTAAGCGTGTCAAAACAGGATAAAATCATTGTGGAAGCATATCTAATTCGACATCTTTCACAAAGCAAATACTATTCCTTTCATGGTCAGTTCGTTTCAGTTCGTTAATATTGGGAACACCGTACTGAATTGATAAAAGAAATGTAAAGGAAATGGGCGCTCTCATCATCAACTCCTCATCCCATGGGATCCGCTATGCACCAGGACTGCTTCGCGGTTCTCCGGTGTTCGGACAAGATAATCCTGCTGAAGCCCAGCAGGAGATTACGAACTTTTAATTTTTCTTTGAGAATAATGCATTGTTGAAAAGAGAGAGATTCGTTTGTTATTCATAGAGGCTTCGAACCTGAAGGAACTCGTGAGTTTCAACCACCGTATTAATCCAATTATCTTCTAGTGTCTCATAAATAATCTTCGGTGTCTTAAGTATATAGTTTTAACGAATTATTGGGAAAACGATTTTTTTTTCCCGAAAAAAAAAGATGTTTAATGGGGTATTGCTACCTTAAAACTCACACATGCACCTCACTATTTACTAGCAAATACTGCAATTGAAGCTGCCGAACATTGGAAGAGGTTGCTCCTAATGTTTTCCCTCCCATCGCACTTGCCGAAATGCTTGTAATTTTTTCCATTCGTATCGGGATGATCCGACTAAAAAGGGCACCTAAATGCCTAATACTGCCGCACGTGCCGGAACCCTATTTCCTGAATCAATGTCAATAGCTATTGATCTGTCTTTCAAATGACGAAATATGAGGAGGAACGTCCACATTTTGATAAGGGATGTCATATACGCGGCCTATCAAAAGGTTCCAAGACCGACCTTCATACGAGCAAACGATGTTCAGAAGTTAGGTTTCAGTAGATCCCCTTCGAAATATTTTCCTTGACTTGCAATACACTACTCCCAACGTTTATAAAGAGCTTGGAACACTGGCTGTAACCCATTTTTGGCAATTTCATTCGATGCGTTGGTCGCAGCTGATCTTATGTGTTGTCGAAGAGGAGGTCTTTCAAAAGCTACTTCGTTCTGGGAAACTGTGAAGTCACGAGTCGCGAGGTCCTGTAAGTACAGAGGATGCAGGAGTAATATTATCCTACATTTGATTAGAAATTCCATGGTACTGTCATATTAGTGATTGATTGCCGTCGGTCACTGCAGAGGGGCTCAGAAAGGACCTGCACAGTTTCCTCATTACGGATTGTCAATGGCCGTCCGCTGCATTCGTCATTTTCCCTTCGCAAAATTGCTTGTGCTCCACACACACACACACGAGAATTAGGGAATGCTTGGAATGTGAAGCCAGAGTTAATTTATGAAGGCATCTCCTTATCCGGCTGAGAGAACACGTCGATAATGTTGAAGAACAATTATGAGGACAATATTCTCAAGAAAATGGCTCTACCCTTCCGCAATCTCTCTCCCTCTCTCTCTCTTTCGAAATCTATGCTTTAGTTGTGGGAGTAAAAGAACATCTATTCCCTAACCAAACTGTACAGTAATATATATCTCAAGATCCACGTGCCCCCCCCCTTCCAAAAAAAAAGAGGCAAAGCAAGAAGGAAAAAACTTATGAAATCCCAGAAAATGGAGTCCTACAGTTCCGCGTCCAACCCCTCTCCCCAAATTTTTCAATTCTCGCTACGCTTATGCTTCTGTCTAACATGAAACAGTATCTCCAGCGGAAGGTGCGTGTATGGGCTGTTTTATGCGTCAAGCACTACCAGTAAAAAATGGAATGATGCTTTCACTGTTAGGCTTTAGAGGCATGAGAAAGCTTCTCTACCTTCTTAATTTCACTTCTTTTCGTGACCCAATTTTATTTCCTCCTTTCTTCCTCTCTCTTCTTTAGTGGAAGTGGTAAGTATATGGTACGGAAAAATATATATTCCTCACATTGAAGGCGCTGGCAAAGATGCTGCCAGGAGGGAAGCCGAATTTGTAGTCAGAGGAGACGAGGTCTTCCAGGCTATTGATTGGAGAGGGAGTGACCGTGACTGTGAAATAGGATGCTAAAATTCCGCTGTATGCTGCAAACATCACCACACAGGACAACCAATACGAACCGAATATCATCCGCCTGCCCGGCCACCTTGGTTCCCTCGGGTGCCCTGCACAACCCAATCATCACTTTTTCTTTCTTAATGAATTTGTATCTTTTGTATAAAAAAAAGTATTATTATTATAATTAACATGGTACTTTTCCTAGCAACAAATAAAAATCCTTGCACTGTAAATTCAATCAGAAATGATATTAAAAGTATTTGATTCCCTACGTCAAATCCATCTCGCGATTTCGTAATGTTTTCTCTTGTCTCTCAATAGTCGAACCTAATACTACTCCTTCTACTCAGAACGATAAGCAAGCATCTGAGGTCTCTGGTTCGCTTCTTCCGCCTGCCCGACTTCCCCTACCGAAGTCACCTTCGATACCGAAGGTGACGAAAAAAGAGGTGGAATTACACTAGTGGTACCTTGTTGGACGAGGAAACCGAAGAATATCCAAAAGGCATTCTCGAAATCTAAAGCGTCAGACGTAACCGGCTTCTTGTCGTAAATGCGGGAAGCAAACCCAAATACCACACCAAACAAGATCAAATTTGCTCCGATGACAAGCCAAACGCTGAGATTGAACGGGCGGACGTAGATGAGGAGTTTATCACTGGTATCTTGACCAGGCCTCCGAATCACCATCCCTGGAATAATACACAAGAGGTATGTGTTGATTTCACATTCTCGAAACAATACTACACTACACGATCGGAGTGAGGGGTTATGGGAAGGCGGCAAAGAGAGTTCAGACCCATTCGTTCGATGGCGACATCTACAGAAGGGAAGTGGACGACGGTTTCTCGTTCCATTGATCGGGCGAGATTCGCAAGACCCAGGTCCGCCTTTCCGTTCATCACCTCTCCCACGATCCCATTCCACGACCCATTCTCGTTTTGCGATCCGAATTTCCCATCTGCTACTATTCTGTACTCGTATCTGTAGCCGGACAAGGAATATCAGAGGTTAGCTCTTGAAGCAACACTTCATCCCTAACGTGAGTTGCAGTTTTATGGTTAAAGTTCCGAATGTCAATTGAAAACCAAGTCCATGGATGGGAACATTCCAATCACCATGATAACTTGTGGGAGTGGGGCAGTAAAGATAATGAAAGGAAATGAGGACGCAACGAGCTGATACTCGATGCACCCATTACCCATCTGCCACGTATCCGATGCATATAGGAATTATGTAAATACGTTTTCGGGGTAAATACTTCTTTTTTTAATTTGAGCAATATGGAAATCCACGATTCCTGTGATGTGTCCTTCGACCGGGATTGTTCTGGCCTAGGAGGCTTCATAGTACAACTTCACTTCACTGATTTTTTGAATCGATAAAATATGAAAATAAGTGAAGGGAATAGCAAGCATTATGGAATAGGATTCAACCACCACCTTATAAAAAAAAAAACATGATTACACACCACACTTAGAATTGTTCCGATACAGACACTCTATATATTTACACTAGTACTTAGCCTAGTTCAGTTGCACAAAGGATCAGAATCAGAAACAATAAATTTGTCCCAATGCAAGAAATAGCCATGTACCCATAGTTCTACGATATAAATGACTCGGCGGTCCACTACGGGAGCTTCGTCCACAGATCCACGGAAACGGATAAGTTCTAACGGGGAGAAATAGGTATAGTATAATGCATATAATCGTGATGCACACTATCAACTGATTCAGGAAAAGGGATTTCCGTTATGAAGCAGCTTCACACATGATATTCTGAGCCATTACCACTCACGGTATACGGCATTTTCAGAACTGTAACGGGATAAGAATCCGTTGACTATTTCACTAAGAGTACAGTATATTAAAATACTTTAGTTGATGGTACACTTTCGATTGTATGATTACCGCCATCCCCTTTCGATTCGACCAGACGTAGGGTAAATTGACGTAGGGTAAATACCCCAGTTTTTGGCCACGCTGATACGACTCCCATAGGAAGTGGACACCCTGTGCGCACACCGGGAAACACTAGTAATAGGTCCTCGTACGGGAAGATGTTGATAGAATGCTTGAAAACGGCCAGATTAATTAATTATGCTGGATTTAAGCCTCACTCGCCAATAACTGGAGACCGGCCAGAAACTGGGTTGCTTACCCTATAAGGAGAAACCGTGGACTGGCAGACACGATACAGAGACCTTACCATAGGCGGCGATTTGTTGAGAAATTTGGGGGGGCTCAGAGACTAAGTACTCCTTTGCAACTACTTCTCGAACTTTTGTCCTCGCTGTCCCTAACCCTTCCTCTCAAAGGGTTTAGGACTTCATCTGAATCTGATTTCCAGTGAAACTCAGCTACGCATCCTTCACTATGGAGAAGAGAGTTTCAGAGTCTGTTTCATAAAATTCATGAAAGACTCGCTCACATTCAGGTCGCCTTGCGTCACTAGCGCAAGCAAATACTGACTCGCCCGGAATGAGAACAATTTTCGTCGATCATTATAGCGAAGAATTTGGATGAATGAACTTCAGATATTACTTTTGCAGAACCTCATCAGCCATTATTTGGAGAATCTCATTCTGTACATCCTTCCTCGACCATTTTTCGCGATGATGTCCTCGGTTCAACCATTCCTACAGTTTTTCACAATCATCGAGCCTCACTTTCAGTATCTGAAAGAAGTTTCCTTCATGGTCTTCATGACCACGGATAGCTTGTCCTTGCCGTCCAAGTAACTTAATGTAAGCAATGAAAGTAATCTCTAATGTTCTTCTAGCGCGAAGGAGATCGGCCCTATGAGCCACTCTGGTTTCACCCATCACATTCACCCCTGAAAGCAGTGCATGCCATGCCAGACCGTGTGTCACATGCCGAGAGGCATGTGACACACGGTCTTCTAACGAGCGGAAAACCTTTCCAGAGCTCTTCTAACTATTGAATTCAACACTTATAAATGCATAAATGCGCTGTATTTCTTGTTTGAGGACGTTAGGAGGCCTTTCTCGAATGCTTGCCCCTTCCCTAACGTTCGGATGATAACCAGGGATAACACTCAACTTTATCAGATTTTTCCCCTCCCACACTAGAGCGACTGCACGAACTGGAAGAATCTTCACATTCAACATTTATTGTGAGTTTTTCCCAGAGGTTTTTGATGGCGAACTTTTCCATTATCCTACACGTATGGCACCAATGGCATGACTCCTCACAGAAGAATGGCTCGAGAATTGGAGTTCAGCCTAGTCCATGTATCGGGAAAAAAGCCCACTTTCGGGGAAGCACTTGACAGCAAAGTGATGGCTAATCCTCTTAATCAGGGCTTCGGAACGGAACGAAAACCGGAACGGAACTGAAAAAATTTCTGGAACAGAACGGAACATGGAACGCTATTCACTGGCGGCAGAGGAACGAAAAACCGGAACGGAATGAAATTGCTTACTCCTGAAAACGAAATAATTTTGTTTCGTTCCGTTCCTTGACCATCTTTACCTTTGCAATTGTGATGAAGGAATATTAACGTTTCTTCGCTTGCCCGCAGTTTCATTCCAAAAATTTACATCGAATTCTGGTTGTTTTTTTTTTAGGGCTGTCGATCAGTGGCGTAGGCAGAAAATTGGCAAGGGGGGGGGGGGGTTGAGGCCAGGTAGACACCCCAACCCTACGATTAGCTCCACCATCCGGAATTTACCTTTTTGAAGAAATCTTGGGTCTGTGGATGGACTTTCCTCGAAGGGGGATAGCTAAAACTGGAATTCCCAAGGAAGGCTGAAATATGCCTGACTGTCACTGACCAGGAAGCCCAAGGGGGTGGTTGAATCCTATTCCATAATGCTTGCTATTCCCTTCACTTATTTTCATATTTTATCGATTCAAAAAATACTCAAAAACTAAAACCATCGCTTCCTGACATACTCGGGGAGGGGGAAAGCCGGAAGCAGGCGAGAAATGAGGAAACGAAAGGGTGAAGCCCTCTACTGTTTTGTTTTGTTTTTTTTTCCATCCTTAGTTCCCCCTTGAATCATGTTCTAGACGAAGGGCATGATTCTGTTAGTATCATGCCCAACACCTAGGCGAGCCTTAGGAAGTGAATGAAGGCGATGCAGTCGCTAACAGCAGTTACGATCCATGCACACACAAGTTCAACCTACATGTGACACATTCCAATCGGAGAGAGAATAATTACAACTTAGCGAGGTAAATAATGGAATTAAGCAAAAAAAATTGCACTGAGGCCTTTTGCCATTTAGCCAACCCATCCAGGAAGGATGCAAAAATGTAACCTAAATGTTTGGAAGTAGACAGTGATCCTTCATTACATGGAGATTCAGAGATCCATTATCGATTCACAGGCAACACAGGATGGAAAAAAAAACAAAACAAAACAGTAGAGGGCTTCACCCTTTCGTTTCCTCATTTCTCGCCTGCTTCCGGCTTTCCCCCTCCCCGAGTATGTCAGGAAGCGATGGTTTTAGTTTTTGAGTCTTCCCATTTTACAAAAATAGTATTTAATTTCTGAGGAAGAGTGAGCTGTGCGAAAATAACTACCTTTCTATAAACCATCATTCCCTTGATGAGGCTTTTGTTTTCGGTTATTTTGCAAAACTATGAACTACACTGCTAAACTTTTCGGGGGAAAATAGGCAAAAAGAGGAGATTGGAGTGTCGATTTTCGATTAATTGCGACTAATTTTGTTAATTGCGATTAATTCTTTAATCAATTAATCAGTCGATTAATCTAATTGAATTTACAGCCATAATTTTTGTAAAGTTATTTCTGAAGGTTCTTCCCTATACCATGGAACGGAACGGAACGGAAATATTTCCTGGAACGGAAAGGAACAATATGACTAATTGTGGAACGGAACAGAAACCGGAACACTCAGGGATCAGGTGGAACGGAACAGAAGCCGGAACACTCAGGGATCAGGTGGAACGGAACGCGGAACGAAAACAAATCCGTTCCGAAGCCCTGCTCTTAATAGCATTATTCATCAACTAGGTTAAGGGAAAGATCTGAGAAAACTGCCGTATGACATGTTTGGAAACACGTCACATTTTCAGGGTTGTTGGATTCCCCTTTCACCTTTCGTGTACCTCAAATCAACAGTTTTATTGAAGAGAAAGAAGTCATTCATTTTCGATTACGAAATCGTCAACATTTCTTTGAGCAAATTCCACTGACGACGAAGAAAGGAAGAAACCAGCAACTGAGCTGTTGGATTTAATCTTCACATCATTGAAACACATGACATCTCTTCCCCGAGGGAGAATCCACAAATTTCCCTTCAGCCTCCCTCTGTCAAATAGCGTTCCCATTCACCCCATTGTCAGGAAGCCAAGCCGAAGGTCTATTGGCTCCATTAATAATCTTATTATTCTGAGAAACTGTTTGCTTTTATTTTTCCACTGAGTCCAGAACCAACTGTACCTCCCACTCCGACGCTAAGAACTGTCGGATGGAAATGAAATATTTTCTTGGGACTAAAACTTCCAAGTCAGTTCAAAAAAAAAGAATAAAAAAAAAACTGAATTGATGAACTCCTTTTCCCAAATTTTTTTGAGGGCCCGAGCCCCTGAGCTCCCTATGAATCGCCGTCTATGGACCTTACTATATCAAAATTTCTTTAATAGAGAAAATCCAAAATAAATTCGATTTCTCACGTGAAGTTGAGTGTTTGGGAGAGATGGTTCACCACATCAACAAGGAACCCTTCAAAACGGACCAGTCCAGAATCGTTCCGAACATAGACGAATGGAGGGGTCTGCAATAGGGAATTTTTCCATTATATCGTTTATTGTTCATCAGGACCGAGGCCTATATTGTATTCGGAATAAATACTGACATGAATGGCGGTGATACGAAGCAGTTCCACTCGCACATCATATCGACTCGATTTCGTGGCATTGATGATGAACTGACCTTGAGACCGAGACCAGAATCCGATACTTCGAATCTCCGGTTCCTCAATCATGACTCTCATCCAAAGAAGAAAATCATCTTCGGGAGGATGAGAACTCACCAGCTGCTTCAGATCTCTCTCCTGAAGTGCCAATGAATCAGTTTAACTCTCTTTGGGACCACCTCTGACTCTTCCGTTAACTAAAAATACTGGGTCCATGGAGATTACCTGAGGGTAGGTGAGGAAGGCGACCCGACTGCCTAACCTCATGGGAGACGAATAAAAGTTCCTCGGTGACACTGAAGTTTGGTTTGGGATGACGAAGAGCCAGTTGTAGAAGTGATTCAACATCCCCTTCGAGTCTGCCTCTGCTTTCCGTTCGTGTGGATTCGTAAACGGGCATGAATTACAACATGAATAAATATCAACATTAATATTTTCCTCATTCACCTCATCCGTTGGGTTCTAAGAGTCTCACCAAACAGAAGATGCTGGATGAGCTCCTGCTTCACGAGAAGAGCCATGAGGGATCCTTCTGTCCTTCTCAGCCTTTCCCACGGAAAAAGTGAGAAATTCCTAAATGCTACGTGCGTGAATCCGATGTCTTCGGGCCGCATGAGCTCGGGGAGAAGAGAATATTTCCAGATGATCTCGTTCTCTTCGTCGGTTAAAATAAAAACATGACCGAGACCCTCGTGTGCTGCCCAGGCTTTACGTGCGTGAATCCGATGTCTTCGGGCCGCATGAGCTCGGGGAGAAGAGAATATTTCCAGATGATCTCGTTCTCTTCGTCGGTTAAAATAAAAACATGACCGAGACCCTCGTGTGCTGCCCAGGCTCTCGTCACGTCCAGGAGGGTACTTGGATCCAGGAAAGGTGTCGGGTGTTCCAGGTGGCACCACGGTGTGTCGATGGGGACTGGGTACACATTCACGGTGGTGAGAGCGGAGAAACCAATCTCAGCTCTTTGAAGGCTTCTGCATTTCAGAGCTGCTATCACATGCAAATAACCCTTCCAATCCGACATGATCCGTTCTGCCGAACAAAAATTGTTCGTCAGAGAATTCAGAGCTTGTTTCGACATGACAGATATCAGCTAGATTCGGAATAACGTACGCATCGGATCATTCGTGACACAAGGCAACCAGGCAGGGAATTTCATGTCAGGAAATGACGCAGGACCGGCTCCAAAGGTCGCATTCCCGCAATCTTCTCTAAGCAGGACTTGGGGAAGAAGAGGTAGAAATAAGAGAAATCTTAATTCTGAAAACCCAAACGCATTTCAATTGATCGTTTGCTTACCGACGTCTCCGGTGAATTGGGTAGAGATCACGACCTGCGTCCCCATCAGAAGCAGAATATGCACGTATAAGTACATTGCGATACCGATATCACATGTTGTCGCTTCTAGGTCTCTGGTCGAAAAATGCCAAGAGCACAGACACTGCAAGCTTCTTTCATGACCTCTCCAACAACGTAATACCGTACTTGCGAGAGTTTTCAGCGTCATCCATCAAAAAAACAATGACGTACTGCATAATTTACACATTCTCCTAATTAGCATCTTCTTCGCAAACAAACGGGACACATTGTGGTCACTACCCTCACCTCATCTAACGTAAAAAGGGTTTGTGGCTCTTGTTCGTAGCCTTCAATCATTTCTTTTATACATCAATCTTCGACGTTGACACGAAGTGAAACCCATTGAAGGATGTCAGGAGATTAGAGATATTAAGTAAAGACAAGGCTGGTGGACAGTCTCTCCACTTCCAAGATTGATTCAACTGCGACTACCGTAGTTTGTGCCAAAGAAAGTGAACACATCGCCAGATATTTCTTTTTGTTGTCCATGTGTCTTGAATGCATCGGCGACACTGGAAATATGAAGTCAACCTCATCTCAAGCCTATTTTAATTCTTGAAGCTATAAAACCCTCAACTCAGAATTCGTACCTACTGCCTCGTGTCCCTTTTTGTCGTGTGCTTCAGAACCTGCCTTCCTCAGTACTTCGAGCTGTTGACATTAAACACTCACTATTATGCTATGAGAATCACCTCGTGTTTTCATGAGGTTTGTGCATAAAATACTATGAATAGGCCCAGATCGATGAAGAAAAGCAACTGCAATGATGATGCCAGGAATTGGCACAGCAAATACATCAAATAAGACGAAGAGTCATTTATTGGCCGCTTCCTCCCACTCCCTATCTCGGATTCTTGAATTCACATTCTGTCAATTTGCATCGTTTGTACTGGATGGTTCGTGAATTGCAGAGAAAATTTTGACCTCCTTTTAGGCGTCCCACCAGAAAATATAATAATGGGCTGAGAGGAGGATGCGGTCAGCGAAGCGAAAGGACCCAACTGCATTGAGGGTGCTGGACGATGCATCAAAGGGTGTGAGGAAGAGAGCGAGGACGATCCTGACAAAACGGGGAATTGCGTCATGGTGTTCGTGGCTCGTCCTGATCATTCATTTCATGGCCTCTTTTCTTTCCCTCTAATTCCCCCGAAAGAAAGAGATATGACCACCTCTCGCTTCACTTGGTTGCGCCCTTCATTCTACATGGATTGCTATCATCCATCTTTCGCCGGACTATTGTAGATGGAACTCCCCATATTTTCAGAATATCGACAGATGCAAGATGATTGGATACGTAGAGTAGAACAAGACAACAGAACAGAACAAGAAGAGCCAACAGAAAGATTCGCATATGGCGAAGTCTCAGGTGAAAAGAAGCAGGAATATTGAGCAACCATTTTCTTACTATCACGCGACCACAACCATCTCGCTCTCGCTCGCTCTCTCTCTCCCTCTCGGTCGACCGTCATGACGCAGGGACGAAACTGTTATTCATGTTCTTGGAGGTTTTGACTATTACGACCACGTCTGAAGGCTATCACAGTTCCATTTTTTGCTTTGCATCTGTGCAAGTGTTTTAATTATCGATATTTATTCAGAGATAACAACCACTAGACATCCCACATCGATATGCGTAAATTCACCACAAAAAACCTTATCTCACTTCGGAATACGATTTCTCACACAAAAAGCATCTATTGTAGGAATTGCTGAACAACTGAACTACTGTAAATTGCAGATGCATAGGCATTCACCACGACATTGCTTCTACCACGATAATGTATGACTGCTGCAGGAGAGCTCTAAATGTGACACAGACGATAGAAAAGAATGGAGAATGATGCACAGATATGACTTCTTCCATACAACTGCTAATATGACACAGAAGTATGCTTCCGAGGAAGGGTATAATAGATGCATTCCAGAATGAAGAGGACCAAGGAACATGCTATTCCTCCCGTCAGAACCAAAAAGGCTCCACTCACCTTTCCAAGGGAAAGAAAATACAAATATTATGTTGTTCTACGCCTATTGGGGATCTAATGGAGAAAAATATGAGAAAGGTCCTCACTTCTAAGATTCCCAGCTGTTGGAATTCTGTGCTAGACTGGTCTGTCTGACAATGATTTCGTGGCCACCATCGTTGCTTCAGTTTCTCTAGGACTCCTACTTCTTTCATTTTCCTCAACCTCGGGCACAAGAATATATGATCCATAGATGTTGTCGAACTTCGATTATTTATATAAATAATCGAAGTTCATGATATATCATTTGATATACATCAAAAAGTGATATATCACTATCCAGTCTCACTGGGCGGAGATGGCAGAGGCGTATTGGGAGTTCTTCTGAAGGATGATTCCGTTGTTCATCTTCATGGAAAACGGCTTAAGCATCAAGTCGCATCTGGACATCATCATCTGCTTCAGAGCTGTGGATGAACGTCGTATACGGTCAGAAGTTGAGTACTAAGTATGAACCCGGGAACGGAAGGAAGACACGGACTTGAGAGGTCTGCGATGAAAGCATATCCTCCAGCAGCCACCTGATCGGGTACATCTTTGTGACGAAGAAATTTAAGATCTTCATGGAATTCCCGCCACCGTAGGTGCACCTCCTTATGAGCTCGAACCGTGGAATGCTGCGCATCACGAGGGAGAGCGGGGCTTAAATTCCTAGTCAATAACAGTCGCAACTAAAACGCGGCGTATCCAAAAACGAAGTGCTACCAGCGCCACACGTCATAGCTTTAAATGGTCATGGTGGCAACACACCTTATTCGCTGTCTTTTACAGGCAAATTATGGGCCTATATGGAATGAAGAGTTAGGGAAATTGAATGTGACGGATTCAACCTCCGTCAGTTCGTTAGCTGAAGTAATCTAATAATGGGTTTCAGACATGATAGAACCCTTACGGCCCATGGGTTCCTTCTGCACAAAAAGGTCGGGGCCGTCGAGTGGTCTTTCGGCGTTCGGACATAGAATTCCTCTTTCAGTCCTTGTCAGGAACATGTTTCAGTTTCTTACAATTTTTGGGTGTGATGCTTCATTGAAACGAGCCGGGACTTGTCTTTCAGAGAGACGTACTCGTTCTTCAAAGAGGGGATGAACCTGGATATACTCAAAGTAGGGGCTCAGCTACCTTGACTTTCATTTTCGTCTTTGGGACAATTCCGAACGAGTCCTAGAAGTCGTTATAGGTGTACATCAACCCATCAATCATATCTAGCGAACCGAGATTTGGAGCCTTGAGCACTTCCCTGTCTGGTATAGGTATAACTTAACGTGAAGTTTGAGAGCCGGATGGTGAAGAATATTTGGTTGAATCAAGACCCTTCAGTTAAGGTGGGACTCGAGACTCAAGCAATAGTGGCTGCTGGCAAAAAATGATTTATCCAAGATTCCCAGTTACACACTGTCTCAATATTTTTCCTTCAATGAATCACGACTTTAGACTGGCATTAATAAGCGCTCTTGACTTGCGATACATTTTTTTTATGAAGATCAGTATCAGCTGCCCTTTTTCATATGGTATATGAATTTAAGGGTTTCTTTCCTACCTCGGGCCGCGACTACGAATATGCATTGATGCAGTTTGGATTGTCAAAGTCATCTCGGCCTTGGACTGTGGACAGCATCGGAAGATGGCCAAATGTCATAAGATTTTACTCCACTTTCATTGCGACCAGCAGGAGCAACGGCTGAATCTCGCGGAGTGGACAGAGATTGGAATAAGGCAGAGGAATGAAGAGTTCCTCACGTTGAAGGCGCGGGAATAGACGCTGCCAGGATAGAAGCCGAATTTGTAGTCGGAGGAGACGAGGTCTTCCAGGCTATTGATGGGCGAGGGGGTGATCGTGACCGTCAAATAGGATGCTAAAGTCCCGCTGTATGCCGCATACATCATCACACACGACACCCAAAACAAGCCAAACATCATCCGTCCGCTAAGCCACCGTGGTTCCTTCGGATGCCCTGCGAGACCCAGTTGGAGACGTAGCCAGGAGGCAGCAATGCCTGTTCCGGCTCTCCCCCCCCCCCCCCCTCCTTCCCCCACCCATTTGTTTCAGGCTAATACCCTGAACCCATCACCATCACCATCGTTTACTTCTCATCGAATGTACATCAATTGCAAAACTTATCTCGCGAATTCAGTCTAACGTCAAGGATGCCTCCTTGCGTTGGATATCCTGCAAAAGACGAGACTGGAAGTCTTCGATTTCCAAGCCTAAACAGGCATTCGAAGTTTCTGCTTCAATTCATCGGCTGCTGGACTTGGTCTGTATATCGGATACCAAGAGTGACGAAAAAAGAGGTGGAATTACACTACCGATACCTTGTTGGACGAGGGCACCGAAGAAAATCCAAAGGGCATCCTGGATATATAAGGCGTTAGACGTATATGGCATGTTATCGTGAATGCGGGAAGCAAATCCGAATGCCAGGCCAAACAAAATCAAATTCGCTCCGATGACAAGCGAAACGCTGAGATGGAACGGGCGGACGTAGATGAGGAGTTTATCACTGGTATCTTGACCAGGCCTCCGAATCACCATCCCTGGAATCATATATGCGGATGTTCATTTCATCCCGCAACTCTAGCAGTAGTCCCTTGAAGGTGCCATTTTCAGTTAACCTTTAACCCTTTGAGCCCTCAGTTCCTGAGCAATTTTGAGCCTTCTGCCTGAGCTCCTGGGCCAAAATTTGCTAATAATGGGTATACAATGTTTGTGCAGGCCGTGGTTCATTTTCAACATCACTGTCTG